ATGCATTCACTGTTCACACGAGTGTTAATTAATGCGTTTTAAAGAATGAAAAAAAAAATAGTAGGGTCCTATATTTTAGCAAAGAGATTATCTTTATACACATATAATATTCTTATCTTTTATAACAGAGTGTACGATTGGTTGGTGAGATTGTTGGATTGTTTGTATGATAAATTGTTGATACCTAATCAATTCTAACTAGTTCGTAAAATATAAGAGCCGTGTATGTAGTTAGAAAATCCGAAACGAATCCCGCGATTACCATCCGAAATTGTCCGACTGGGTCGTAAACAATCGAATAAAAAACACACACACACGCCCGGATGGTGGTGGTCTAGAGTTTTCAACGAGTATATATATACAATACATACATTTGTTTTTCAGTTGGTTTTCACTTTGCGGCGAGCGGACGGACGTCGCTTTGTTTGCGAGATGAAAAAGTTGATACGATGAAAAAAATGTTTTTACCCTACGCCCCGCCCCCTCTGCTCTTCGGCCATCTGCGTTGCCCTACTTCCGGGACCATTTCCCATTCCAGGGCCCTCTCGAATCCACACCGAACTCGAATAAAACGTGTCCGTGGAATGAACGTTTTGAACCTATACGAAGCGTGTAGCAAGTTGGTAATACGTACCTACAGTTGGTACGATCCAATCAAGTCGATATTGAACTTTTTTTTGATTGTACAACTTTCATTGAAAGAAACTTGTCCGATTTTCAATTGATCGCGTTGGACATTCTGCGACCCTGACACAACAATCGTTGTTTCAATCCGAATAATATCAATTTGACATTATTGATCGCGATATATTAATTTCGTTAGATTGTCCCCCATTTTTCTCCCCTTTGGCATATCGAATTTTTGTTCTTCTTAACCTTTTCGAATATACAACAATCGCGAAGAAGTTGAACTTTTTTGTTTGAATCGGTAGTATAAGTCAAAAAGGAACAAAGGTATTATATATGAAAGTTGATATAGGTAATCGAAAAAATAAGAATCTAGTGTAAAAGCTTACGAGCGAGCTTGTTTCGTACTTATATAGGTTTGTACCCCTACGTAGGTAGGGTTACCAAAAGTTTCACGTTTCCATGCGAAGTTAAGAGTAGTATACCTTTTTCTTCCTTTCGTCAAAGTTACAGTGACCTGAGAGTTAAACCAAGTTAAAGGTACATTCGCTCTTGACCCGAGAGAGCGGTTTGTCCTAACGTCGTAGTCATCGTAGTAAGTCCTTGTGTACATGGTGATACTAGTAGTAGTAGTAATAGTAATAGTAGTAGTATTCGTAGTTAGTGTCGTAGCCTTAGTTAGTTGTAGTAGTCGTTTACCGTGGCGGACAAATTAGTTTCACGTTGCCGAGCTCACGTAGCAATCTCTATATCTGTTAGATCTCACGAACGGCGTGGATCTTCCAAAATCTTATCAGGAACGAGTTGTATTAGATGACCTTTGACCGGACGACCGAACATATATATATATCTTCATTCTTTCATTCCAGTGATAATTATATTCGAAGAAAACTTAAAACAACGTATTTTAATCATTTTATATTAACAAACAAACACACACACAAACAAACCAAACAAAAGATAATAATTATTAATTTAGTTTTGTCTTTTTTTTTTTTTTTCTTTTCTTTTTGTCGTTAGTCAATTTCACTACGAAGATATTATACTATTGTAATGGAATTTAATTAATCGAAAACAAGACAAACATTCCGCAGAGTCGTTATTAAAGGTAAGCTACGTGCTTGGAAGTTCGACCCTCGTCAAACAAATCTCCGCTTCTACGTGCGACTACTATGTCGTATTGGATGAACGTGTCTGTGTGTGTCTGTGTTTGTGTGCTCGTATGTATAATATAACGTACAGGTGCACAATGTAAACAGGTCAAATGCCTCCTATTTCTCCACCTTTTGGTATACGTGCAAGAGACGAAATTATGCCACCTTTGACGGCAACCGATGGAGTTTTTGTTCAGTCGACGTTTAAATCCCCGCGTTGCTGAGATAAATCGGTCTCCCACTCTCTCTCTCTCTCTCTCTTGGTAGATCGTTAATAGGAATACGCTACGACACAAATAGGGAGAGGGGAAAGAGACGACGTTATTGTGTCAAGACGAGGACAACTTTAGCGAATGAAAATTTTAATGGGAACTTTCGGTATTAAAATTCCGTATCGGTGATAAGCGTTTAACGAGTAAACGGTTAGTTCCATAAACTGGGGAAAAATAATTTTTAACGGATAAAAATAGAATGAAAACGAAATGGAGAGACACAAAGAGAGTGAGAAAGAGAAACAAAAAGGAATAAAAAATGTTTCGAAAGTGTGATTTACGATAGATAAATTAGAATCATTTTCATAGTATTTATTAATTTCATTAGTATACGGATATATTTTGATTAAATAATTTATTGTTAGATAATAGAATATGAATGATGAAAATGGTTTCGTTAGCATTGTTATAAAATCGTTTGAGGAATAAAAAAAAGAAAAGTAAAAGGGGGGAAAAGATATCTACTTAGGTGGCACCGTAACGGAGAATCACGAGAACGGGGAATTAATCGCGGCAGTTCTTTAGTCTGTGGAAAACGCGCTTGGCGGATCTTAAATTAAGCTAAATTGAATCGGTTGCCGCACGTTTGCGCGTGTACGTGAACGATAAATCCATCAACCAGCGGGTAGGATAGCAGAGCTCACTCTCGTGCAAACACATACACATACTATGTATATATATATATAAACACAAACACTATATACGTATGCGTTCTCATATATACCATGTACACAAAGACATAGAAAACGAGTGGTCGAGAGAATATAGGAAGATACGAGGTGATTTGGCTTCGATGAGGTCGCTGAATTCAGAGCTGGACGAAGAGGCAAATCCGCGAGTTTTTTGATCCCAATTGCAGTCAGGATTTGCCGAGGGATGACCTTCGTAAATCTAATTTGCAAACTTCCTCTTGGTCATTCTTCGATTTTCCTCTATCTCTTTTTTTCTTTTTATTTATTATTCTATGATCGACTTATCAATCATTTTTTGATATACATAATGTTCTAAAGTTTTTTTAATGAGCTCAATAATTATATATATATCTTTTTCGATGATATATTTCAAGGTGGACATCCTGTATATTTTTTTTTTGAAAATAATTATCTAGCTAGTCAAGTATTTGTATTATTCTTCTTTTTTCTTTTTATAATTTTTCTAACGAGGAATATAATCGTTAATAAAAAATGATTGTTTATTGGATTTTTTTTTTTAGTGAAATTATTTATAAGATTATTACATTTTCAAAAATAATTATGATTATTAAATATGGAATTTATGTGCTTTAAAATATATCGAATAAATATCTAATGATTAACATTGAATTTTTGTATAACCTTTCCAACTGTTTTACATGTGTTCACTTCAATAATGGATATTTAATTGTTATTGTTAATAATTAAAAATCCTCGTTTTTCGAAGCTTTCGGTAATAATAAATACATTTTTCGAACCAATGTTGAGCTTCACGTTGACTAATTGTCCCTTAAACAAAAGAGCTATTTCTACTGCTTTAGATCCGAGCTTATAAATTCATAAAATAAAAACGTAATTCATTCATTACGATTATTTATTACACGATCTTAATTAGAAAATGCGATTCTGTATTTAATGTAATCAGATCTTGTTAAAAATAATAAAAATTTGTTCTTTCCTTGAGTAGATATAATTAATGTATAATGAGATATATAATCAGTGATAATATAGATAAGAAGATTGAAATATAATAGAGTTACAAAACTAATGAAAATATAAAATAATAAAAATACGATATTTATTTTTTTAATTAGATATAATTATTATAATGAGAGATCTAATAAGTGTGATAATATAAGTAAAAAGATATTTTTCAAAGTGTGTTTGGTGTAATATCAAACGGACGATTAAATGTCATGGTGTAGTATGTTTTATTTAATATCGAAGGTGAAACGGAAGTAATTACGGTTTCTTTAAGCGTAAAATGGAAAGCCTCCTGGCTTCTGTTGGTTGCGATGACGATAGCCGTGGTTAGACTGCAGGATGGTGATGGTGAAGAAGGAAAATCCCGTGAGGAAAGCTAAGAGGAAAGTCAAAAGGGAAGCTAACGGCACGAAGGGAAAAGTAGAATCGAGAAAGTGGTTAAACATTGTGGAGTTTGCCTCCTGGTGGATCAGAACGTTTCGA